GTGTGTGTCTTTGTAGCTGTGGAGACCATATCAGGTGGGTGCTTGCCTATCTTATCAAGCTAAATGCTCCAAAGGGACTATTGTGTATGCAAGAACTGCCCAAGTTTCACACTTAGCATTTCTTTATTTCTTTAAGGCATATGTATGAGAGTGTCTTGCCTGTGTGTGTGTTGAGGACAACCGTATGGAAAGGAAAGAAAGATTAGTTATATTTTTTTCCTTCTCTCTCTAATAGTTAATTTTTCTTTTTTTAAACATGTCTTGCCTACTTGATTCATTTGTAATTCTTTATAAGAATCAAGTGGACACTGTCTCCAATAGTTAATAGAAATAGGCTGGTAAGTTGGTGGTAACCTCTTGGTCTGAAGGATTAAGCTGATGTGCGAGCACCTCAGTTCCTCTGACGGCCGCACGAGCGTTCCAGTTTTGGCGGCTGTTCCTTAGCACTAATTTGCAGACGTGTGTGTCTGTGCATTTCACTCATGTACTCTATGAATACAGTTTGCTAACAAAACCTACATGATTTAAATGACTTACAACACCATACTTTTGGCGAAAACATCTTGCTGCAAGAAACAGACAGAAAAATGAAAGTCAGAAACGCTGATTCAGACTGAGGTTAAAAATGAGGCCAATATCTTCAGAGTGTGTGCTGCTGCTGATCATATGCACTGGCGTTATTTGTTACTGTGCTTAAGATAAAAGAGCAGTCAGGGACAAATCTGTGACGACAGCTACAGCATAGGGTTGGGTTGAGCAACTGTCAAACATGCAGACAGGTAGAGAGTAGGGCAGGTAGACAGGCGGCCTGCCAGCGTGCCAGCGTGCGGTGTGTGGGTGTGTGTGTGTCAGTGCATTAACTCCTATTAAATAATTTGGTGACAAAATAGCATTGTATTTGTTCATGTTTCTAGACATGAATTGGTGGTTTTAGCATGAATTTACCTGCATTTCGATGCAGGCTCCAAGCAAGAACCGTTAGTGTTGAACAGAATTTTCTCTGAAGTCAACATTTTCATATGTATGATTATACTATCTCATCCTCTCCATATTTTGCAAGAGATTCAGCCAGTGTCCATGCTTAGTCTATATATTTTGTTGCTCCCTTGCTTGAAAAATCTTCTTAAACATGCAGAAAGTTGTGTGTTTACTGTTTAGGTGGAGCTCTCTGGAATTGGTCCTTAAAGGCAAAAAAGATAAATGTCCTGCTCCTACTTTCCCCTGTTTTTGTTTCGTTGACTTGCTGACGGTTTTTCTAGTGCAGGGTCAGAGGCAGGTCAGTAGTTTTTGGAGTGGTCAGGGCCTCACTCTGTGTGTGTGCGATGCCGCCCAGGCAGAGGGTCTGCGCAGAGGTCGGCTTTGAGGATCTCAGTGTGATCCAGCCATGTTTAGTCTACCAGTCCTACATGTCCTACATGTCGCACACCACAGTCATTTGGTCAGGAGCTGTTTCAACAAGGCAGTGCTATTCCTGCAGCATTACCCTACCAAAGAGCCGTGACTGATTGGCCAGGACAAGTAAGAGATGTGCTGCCAACAATAGTGCAGGATGTAGAAAAATATAATTTTATAATTGATTTGTTTGCTGTAACATTTGTTTCAGTGGCTAACTTTTAGAAATGTTTGTGCATTTGCAAAAATGATCTTTAAAAAGACTCAACTTTTATTCTGTCTCACTTATTGAAATAATAAAATCTGTAATAAAAGGCTATTCTTGAATGCTTTATCTGTGTGAAATCCTTAAAGAGCTGATGTGTTTTCTTCTAATCCAAAACAGCAACTCCACGCTAAGGATATGCTGTTTTGTTTATGTTTGATCCAGGATGTGCTGACACACAAACTCTTACTTTATTAAAAATGATGGAAAGAAGAAAAGCAAAGACACCATTTGTACCCTCTTTAATAAGAAAAAAGAAACATGAATCAGTGTGATCACACTTAAACCGAAAGAAAAGAAAACACAAACAATATATTATATCAGCACACTTTCAAAGTTGGAAAAGCAACATATTTTAAATAAAGGACATTTGGTATTGAAACTAAAACATGTTCCACAGAGGACATCGCGTGACCTGAAACTTCTGCATCCTCTGCTGCTTATCATCCTTCACAAGATCATCCATACATTGATCTCTTCACATCAGCAGTCATTTGAAGAAAAGGCACTTTTCAGACATGGGGGCGGTCTTTTGACCCACTTTTACATGGTTACTACTTAGCTGATCCGTTGACAGTTTAAGGAGGACATTCCTACGTATTGTTGTAACACACACACACACTATCAGCCCACCTGGCCATTGAGAGCTCTATAGTGCAAAGTACTGTATGTAAATCCTCCAGTAGTGCATCTCTCCTCCCCCCACTGTTAGTAACTGACAGAACTCCTCCATGCACCTCACCAGTTAACTGTTATTCGAAATGTTACAGTCTCTGGAAAGGCATGCAGTTAAAATGCTTCACGCAGTAATAAAAGGAACTATTTTCTGGTCATCTGAAACACATCACATTTTTTTTTTTTTTTACCACAGTTGCTTTGCATCTTTCCTTCTCACTACAGATTTTTCTCTTTTTTTTTGTTACTTTGTTTTACTCTAAACCTCAGCAGGAACACAATGTATTTTTTCTTCATATTAACCAAAAAGACGACGCGTTTTTTTGAAAGCACAGAGTTCATGAGCTACACGTTTAAATTGACAGACGCCCGATCTGACAAAAACACGACAGATCAGGGTGTGAAAACAAAAAAATGACCAATGTTGTAACACACTCACAAAGAAATGAATTTAAATGTCTCCAGTTGCAGTAACACCTGCCTGAAGCAGTAACCTGAAACTTTCCTCTGGATAAAAAACAAAACCTCACATTGCGGTTGTAACTGGTCGACAGAGCACAATACAAGTTATATTAAAATTTCTCCCTTCATAAATAAATGCAAATATCCTTTCCCCTCCTCATTACCTCTATTTACATTTTATACAAGGCTATTTTTGCCACACACAATTCTCAGGATTGGACTTTAACTTACACACAGACAAATTAAATGACTTCACTATCATTTAAGACCTCCTATTGTCCAGCTTCACTTTTCTGTCCTCCGTGTAACCAGTTTGTCTCCTTGTTTGACAGAGATGGTAAAAAGAAAAAGTGTGTTCTTTTGTCCCTCTAAACATGGCAGCCATTTTATTTTGGATGTGAGTTTTGAAGTCCAGAGACGCAGAGAGAATGAAAGAGGAAGATGGCAAAAGCATTGGAGTCCATTTTAACAGATGCAGGGAGACACAGAAGTCTCCATCTTGGCTTTCCTCCATGAGCAGGTTTGTGTGTGTGTGTGTGGGAGTCGCTAAAAGTCCATATTAGGAGGCATTGAGTACTGAGCGGCTGTACAGAGTTTGGTAGTAAGCGCCCGAGTCCATTGTGGTCGGCCCCGGGCTGTCGTAGATCTGCTTCGCTGCTACAGGAGAGGTCCCAGTGTAGGTGTTGTAGGTCATCAGCTGGTCCTGGTAGGATTTGAGGTCCATCTTTTGCTCGTTGGACATGAGGTTGGTGATGGAGAATGGATGGTTGAAGTTGTAGTGGGGGTCTAAAGACTTGAGGGGGTCGCTTTGTATGTCCATGTGTTGCTGCATGACACTCGGCAGGAGGTGGGAGCTACTAGGTAGAGTCTGGGAGTGGAGGAGTGGGTTGGAGGAAGAGGTGCCAGTGAGGGGCATGGAGGATGGAGAGATGGAAGATGAGGGGGTGGAGGAGGGTGGCAGGGAGACAGGTGGGTTGTGGAGGTGTGAGGAGGACAATGGTGGACATTCCAATGAAACCATCGAGTTTCGGGAATGAGGCTGGTCATCTGAAGATCCCGGGTGGGAGTTATCCGAGTGGGTGGAGTCTGCTCCCTCTGATCCACCTCCAGGGCTGCGATCCTCCACCAAGAGATCGACACTGTGAACTACTTTTCCTGAGCCCATGTCCTGGTTCTTGGCTGCCTTTTTTGCTGACTTGTCCTCAATCTTGAATCGTTTCTGGCGCCTCAGGTAGCAGCCGTTCTCAAACATGTTGCCGGACTGTGGGTGGAGAGTCCAATAAGAGCCTTTGCCCGGCTTGTCGGGTGAGCGAGCCACCTTCACAAAGCAGTCGTTGAAGGAGAGGGAATGGCGGATGGAGTTCTGCCAGCGCTGCTGGTTCTCACGGTAGTAGGGGAACAAGTTCATGATCCATTGGTAAATCTCGTTCAGGGTTAACATCTTGCTGCCACTCTGCTGGATGGCCATGGTGATGAGGGAGATGTAGGAGTATGGTGGCTTGGCATGGGTCATTGGCCGTCGGAAGGGCTTTGGGTTAATCTCCTTTGCCCCTGCTCGGTTCAGAGTTGCAGGAGAGGTGTATCCCAGCTGACTCATGGATGGGCTAATGTCCTGGTAGTGGGACAAAGAACTCAGGGAGCCTGGAGCAGCAGGGCCCAGCTGAGTTAGTGAGCCTGAGGTGAGGGACGGGGCCACTGGGGAGAGGGACATGTGGCCGGGAACGGAGCCCATTGAGGCCAGTGGTGAACTGCTGATGCTGGTGGTGGGCGGGTGATATGACATGTTCATACCAGCAGGCGAGACAGTGGCTGGGTTCAAGTTGATGTAGTTATTGATGGTGCTCATAGAGCTCATGGAGCCCAGACCAGAGTTCATGGTTGTAGGAGATGAGTACATCTGGAGTAAACAGGAGGGACAAAATCTAGTTAGTTGCAATGTGAACACAGAAAAGAAATAAAATAAGACAAATAATTATATAAATTCTGTAACTATCTAATTTTGATTTCGATTTTTAACACTTCTGTTGGAAATAACTGATCTAAATTTCTCGGGCAAAACGTGAAATGTGAAAGGAAACACTCCCAGACTCCCAGTGTTAAAAGTCACTTCTTATCAATGCACAATGAAGCTCTCAGTGTGCTGAGAGGGGACATGGATTTCACACAGCGATGTTAACCTGAAAATGCGTAAAAAGCGCGTCATGGTGCCTCTCGGTCAGACGGCCTCCTCCACTGCTGCCATGGAAAAAACAAGTTCTTCAGTATTTAACCTAAAGTGGAGGAGTGATAATACTTCCAAGTCCTTTTTGTGTGGAATAAAGTTGAATAATTCAGAGCTAAATGTCAAGAATTGTGCTTCTCTGAATCCCGAGTCTTACTGATATTTAATCTTTATGGATGCGAAAATACTAAATCTGCGGGTGATAAAAAACAGTATCTTAGCCCGCTTAGTTTTGGTTAATTATTATCAAACGCTTTCTTCTCGGTAATTTAATCAGGCTGGGTTGAGGTGAGAATTGCTGCTGCTGGAATTAACTCCTAATTGAATTAGGGAGGAAAAAGTCTTGTTTCATTTACACTTGAATCGTTGCAACACTTAAGCGGAGTAGAGACACAAAGGATTAAGGCCTAACAGTGAGACTATGTCCTTTAAAAACATCATATAATTCTCACAGACTATTTATTACGAAATCCGTTAAATTATAATTGTCTCATTGTTGATTTAAAATCAAAGTATTTATTTTGCAGAAGAAGCGAGCCCCTTCCTGACTTGCTTTTTATTTCTTGATTTATTTATGATCTTTGTTTACCATAACTGCTAAAAATATTAGTTACTCACATATTACGATATTATTATTTTCTTAATTTTAGTTTTTTCGGGGTTTTTTTTTTTTGTTTGTTTGTTTTTTGTCCAGATTCCCGAGATTTGATTTTCCATTACTAATGCCATACGTGGATGTTTTTATTTTTACGACAGTGTCATAATATTTCCATGTTAATTCGAGGTTTTCGCCTACTTTTATAAGATTATTTTCGACTGTATCAAAGCAACTACTTTTGATTCGGAGTCCCGCTCCATAAGCGAACATTTTGTCTTCCCTCACGGTCTGTCTCTCTTTCTCCCTTTTTTAAATCCCCCAAAACAAAGGCGGAAACTTTGGCAATATTTAGAACAAGAGTAAATAAAAAACTGGATTTATTTGTAGTTACTGTTGATATTTTCACGTTTTCGCTTGTCATTACCTCGCTGGCCTCGCTGGCTGTGTAGTAAGTATTCCACTCTTCCATCTTCACAGAACTCAACATCCCAAACAAAAGTCTTCAGAAGAGAATATTTTATCTGTGACCGAAGTTTTCAGAATAACAAAAATACATATAAAGTCCTCCTAAAAGTTGGCACGTATCGGGAAGAAAATCCAAGCAGAAAGGGTTCTCCTTGTCGCACGGAGTCTAAAATGCGTAAAAATGAAAAAGTGATGCGATTCCGCTCCGGAGAACAGGTAGGTCAGCGTTTCTTAGTTGTCAGTAATCCATTGTTTTGCAGCTTTAAATTTGTTAATGCTCAACAGACTTCTGCTTCTTTCTCGTGGCCCGTTTTTTCTTTTGGTCACCGGGCCCTCGGGACGCAGCGCGCGACAGACGGAGATATAACTTGGAAATACAGTAGAGGAACCTGGGCGCCCTTCTCTTATAAGGCTCTGCTCGGCCCCGCCCAGCCCTGACTTTTGAATTGGGCAGGAAGGGCCCGGCAAAAAAGGCAGATGTAGCCCCCTGGCGTGCTGGATATTGGCCCCGCGGCTGTGCTGGCGAAAACCAGCCAGGCAAATGTACTACTGTTCAAAAGCTGTGCCCATTTTTGGGATGTTTCTCAGTATTGCAGAAGAGTTAAGTTTTGTTGATCATGACGAAAAGTTAAATATCAAACACGTTTCGAAACTGGAGCAATAAAAAAAAATCTACATAAAAGCGCTTCATTAAAATCCAAAATTATTTTTTCAGTTCTTTTAACAATCAGCGTCTGGTTTCTGCAGTTTTGGTAGCAACGCAATTTTTCTAAAAGAATTCGAAAAATAGAATTCTGGCTTGAATAACAAAATATTTAATCGTGACTACTTTGACCTTCACATATTTTGATAATAGCACGAATCACCTGAGACTTATCAGAAGATCAGAGAACATTAAATTTCTCATTTTTCCACCATCAGCCTCTGTTTTCTTCTGAATCTTCGTCACGAAAACCAAGTAAAACATAAGGAGTAAAAAAGTAAACACAGCTGACTAAGAAGCTTATCCCCGTGCATAAACAGACAGATCTTTATCCAACTGTTGGGTAACGATGGCTCATGTGCGCATTTTACGCATATTGGGGTCGTTTGAATGTGAGAGACCTCCTCACCCTGGGAACTTTGTTGGAGAGCTTCTTTTTTCTCAGAGGAGGCCCGTCGCTACAAAGAAATAAATAATGTAGCCTAGTCCTGGCCTAATGCATGGGCCAGGACTCCTGTATTGTGGAATACACATCAGGCCTCGCTGCAGACGGAGGCCTGTGAATGTCAATGCTTATGCTTAATGGCAAGTCAATGGAGATGTAATTGATGCGCAGGCGGGAGGTCGACGGGATTAAAACTGGGCGATAAGATCCCGTGGAAATCACAGGAAGGAACTGGCCTGTTAGTGCTCAGATGCAACAATATTATGCAGAGTGTAAAGGATTCAGCGGCGTGAAGATTTCTTGGAAACATGACGTTTACAGCCATTAAATTTCTCCGTGGCGTCCACATAAAGGCCCCGCTGCCCTCACGAAAACAGAGATGAGAGGGAGGGACTCGGGTCAGCTTATAGTTAATCAGACGCTTTCCATGATATGACCTGTCAAAGACTCACAGATTATCACCTGCTTGCAAAGTGCTGTCACATCCATTAAACGTGGAATAAACTAACGCCTGAATGTCGTAACGATGTAACCAAGCCTGGATGATTTATTTTTCTCCCTGGATAAAATATTTGTAAATCAACTCTGAGGTCACATGAAAAAAAAAGCTTCCGGGTTAAAATGTACTTTAATTTGACGTACTGGTGAATTTAAATGAGAAGTGGACGAAACGACTCTTTATTATAATGGAGCCTTGATTTTATCCCATTTTTACTCAAGTTTACAATTTCAACGTCTTGTTTTCTTCAGGGGCGGAAACGATCCAAACGGCTTTTACCCTAAGGCCTCAAACCTCTCCCCTACAAGGTTTCAGTTATCCGAGTATGAGTCAATAAAACGGGACAAACTAAAGCGCATCTGCTAATCATTTGCCTACTGCTCCGCAAATGTCTCAAATGGAAATTCGAGTTCATAAATATTAATCAAGTTTGCATGTTTTTTTTCTGGAGAGGTTTGTGGTGTTTACAACTTCTCTGTCCTGTTAAACTTAAGAATAACAAATATTCTCCAAAAACAGACAATCCTGCAAGCACAACCTGTTTAACTGATCATAGTTGATACTTAATATATATATCGACACACCTGCTGCGTAAAAGGGTTCAGTATGGTTTTTTTTCCAAGACTTTTTTTGCTGCGTCTAATAAACACCTTTAATCGAACTTTTCAAAGCCACCTCTCTCACTCTGCGGGCTGCTTTTCAATTCAATGGATCTTCCACCGGCCATTAACACCTCCATAATTGGTTTAACAATAGCTGTAATGAGCTGACACTAATGGAGAAAACAGCAGATCCGCGCAACTGGAGGACGATGGGGAGGGACATCTATACGGCCACTGCCCGCCCTTTTCTTCATCACAATCAAAATAGTGAAAATTAATCAGGGGTGCGTAACTTTATTCAGGCTGACAAGTTTATTTACAGCTACTGACAAAGGGCAGACACCTGAAGCTGTGGCATCTTTGGTGAAAACAGAAGGTTTTTAGGCAGTAACAGGTCAAAGTGCGACAGTTCTCGATTTTAAAGGATTACCGACTCCACAGGCTGTAGGCCTAATGGACCTGACAAAAGATCATGCTGCCACACAGCGTCTTCTCCGTAAGGCACGCTAAGACCAGGAGCGCCATCATGTGGCCCTTAAAACCGAGTCGCAGCTATGCTTTGTGCAGTTTCTTCTGTTAGGATTATAAAGGAGCACAGATATAATAAGAAATTTCACAGACTCGAACTGCTGTGACATTAAAACACAGAGGTGCTTTATTCTCACTCTTTGATTTTAAAGGTGAATTAGACGTGAAGTTTAGCTGTAACCAAGTCTATAGGCAAGTCTTGCAGGTTAAATGATACATTTTCAGCATTAGAGCTGATAAATACCAACAGATAAAAGGCAAAACACACCATATGATGGACATTAGACACTAGTGAAACCAGTTTTGGCAGTCCCAAACTAAGCTGGCTTGGGAATGCCCCAATGTCCACTCTGGAAAAGCTGTAAGCAGTGGTTGGAAAGCAGAAGATCTGGGCATCACTGCTCAGAGATCTACTACAGTGTGCTGGGCCCAGATAATTAGAATAAGGATGCATGGTTGCACAAGCAATAAATATATGAAAATTCCTTGACTTGTAGCAATTTCAGACAGCTAGCATTTAAGTCTTTCGATTCTAACAGAAGGATGGTGAGCAGTTCCATTATATGAAGTTTTACCCAGAAATAATTCAATAAACAGGTAAAGATACTCAGTAAAACTTGTAAATAAACAACAAAGAGAAGGACAAGTTTCCATCCCATTTATTCCTGGTTTTATGTTGTACAGGAAGCTGCAATAAAACTGACAGATCTACAAAAAAAAGTCACATAAATGAAAAACAACGTAGTGGGAGGATTCAAATAAAACACGAAGGGCCTGTCAACCTTACGAAGGCTTCAGATAAAAGCAAAAGCAGTCAGATGGTGATCGAAGGGAAGCAGATTCAGGTTAATCATTGACAAGACAATAAAAGAAGCCATTGCACTCCTAACTTCCCCTGAGGTTCCCAGACACAAAAACAGATGGTAAACATTTTTAAAAGGCACTTAACAAGGGATTGCATGACGTATCAGTGCATATTATACTATTACATTTCTTCAAAGATGTTTCTCTACAACAGGCCTGATCTGTGGGATCTTTTTGTAAAGTGGACCTATTATGCTTTTTTCCCTCCTGAATTTCTGTCAAATATATACTGAGGTGGATGCATATAAGGAACATGGCTAAAATTTCAAAACACGAGGTTAGTGTATGTACATGTAATCCTGGTCACTTTATAATTCAGGCTCTAAACACTCAGTTTCTGACACTTCTTCTGTTTGCGATAGGCAGCCAATCAGAAGAAAGATGACTTAAAGGGAGAACGGCCATAAAATGGCTCATTTCAGACAGAAAGAATTGGAGGGCTGCATCAAGGCCCAGTCTGAGAAAAAATGTGAATTATTTTGAACTATGAATCATGCAAAGCTACTCTAGCAAAGTAAAACATAAAAATACTGAACTAGAAATTAGCATAATAGGTCCCCTTTAAAATATATAAGTGCTATGTAAGGATCTGCTGCAGACTATAGATTGTACATATCCTATAAGTACAGTAGAACACATTGGCCTGTTAACTGTAACGGCCTAATGAAGAGAACCAGCTGGTTGAAAAATAATGAAATATATGTCTTCCATAAAACATTTACAATTATAAACATCATTTTGGGCATAAAATTACCTTTGGTTTGTCTGTGCTTCTGTACTGTCAAGTACTCGCTGCACATAAAGAGAATCCACCAAAAAACAAACTCATTTTGATATATTATCATTACAATGTCTGGTTGTTCAATTTAGGAACATGAAATCCCTGCGCACTTTAATGTATTTATGAAATTCATTTTGAAATATAGCAAATGGGAAATAATATACAATGTTCAATAGTATGACTGGAAACCAGACCACACAGATTTATTAAACATCTCTTGATCAGAAACAAAGATTTCTGCTTTTCAGTGGATTCTCACTTAAAAAAAAAAAGTTTAAGAAATTTTTTTTAATACCATATGTCGAACTCTTGCATGTACTATGTCTAAGGATTGCACGTGTGTACTATTACAGTTCTTTACAGTATATAACATTTAACATTCTAGTATAAAATATAATCATAGGCCTGTCAATAGATTTTTTTATATACATTCGGGGTAAAATGTAGGCTGGGCTGGATCTTGTATGAAAGCAACATTTAAATACAGTCAAACACTGAGTTTCTGCTGCTGGTTGACGCGCTGACAGGTTAACTGGTTGTGTCTACACAGCAAAACATTCTCCTTTCTCTGAGTTAAAGTCAGCTTCAATTTAAGCTGACAAAAAAACCCAAAACAAAAACAACAAATGCACAAGCGCACAGAAATGTCTCTACTGGCATTCTGTCCACATCTAACGCAGGTTTGTTTAGATGTTTTACTGGAGATTTAAAAGAAAAAAGAAAGAAAGAAAAATCTGTGCATCAGGACACAGACTCAGTCATGAAGCAATTAAAAAAAATATCTGCTGAAGGTACATTACATCATCACTGTCAGTGTCATGTCAGTTATAAGCTGTAAATTTAACTTGTAGAAGCAGAAAATATTTCATTTGATGAAGCATTGGTAAATAATATGGCATTTTTTCCCAAGACAATTAACTCAACTTTTCAACAATAAAAAGAACAGCTGTGGCTGCTGTTTAGATATACTTTGACATACATGTAAATATATATATGTGTATATGTAGTATATATATTTGTGCTTTTTCCTGCACAAAGCTGAGTGTATGCTGACAACACTGGGAAGCGGCTATTGTCTAAGAGTTTGCGAACTCCAATCACTCATCTATCAGGTCTCCTAACAAGCCATCACTGACACAAATTAAACTGATGTCAATTGCTTTGACTAAAGTATTTCTGTCTTTATCTCCAAGGTGCCAATCAGTACCACGTATTGTAGCTAAACCATGACTAATTTATGCTCAAAGCGTCCTTTGGCATGTTTGCTGTGACACACTGGGTTATGGTATAAATGAGCCATCAATCGCTTGCAACGCATCATTTGTCAAGGAGCAGGGTTCACTAACCTTAACCAAGTAGTCTTTAGTGGCTAAACCTAACCAGTGAGTGGATCTGAGAGCATAAACCGAGGTAAAAAAACAACAACCCAAAAACAAAGAATAAAACACACAGCTATGAATGGGGTACAAATCAGGGTCTCTTGGCAGTCAACCCAGTAAAATGCCAAGTGCCATCATCACCTCTACATCCTCACTAGGCCTTTGCACTCCTGTTACGCCTCAGCAGCCAATGTAGCGCAGCTATAGTGCCAAAGCACCAACACTAAAGGATATCTTGTGCTTAATGGGAAGATCCAGGAAGCACCTGACAAAGCTGCATTGTATGTGTTCAGATAGGAATGCTATAATCTATATCCATCTGCTAACGTGAAAGCGATGCTTGTTTCAAGTAACAGAACTAATTACCAACTCTTAAGCAGTAGCCGCTGTCCAGCTTGTGAGTCTTCCTGAATATGTGATTCCACCATCGCATGATTAGGGATATGTATACGCTGTATGTCTGGTTGTGGTGGTGATATTCCATTAGTATCTCTGCTGTTTTCTGGACTGAAAATTTAAAATGGCATTAAACTGTTTTACAGCATTGCTGCAAGTGAGCGCGCAATGCACAGAATGCATTGGGAAATTTAATTTCACAAGCTCACTATACAGTGGCAAAAATCAGCAGTTGCTCAGAGAAAAAACAAGTGATGTGTGCAGGCAGTCTTTGCTGCCATCATCAGATCTCTGATTAGGCCTAATAGTTTTGAATTCATTGCAATGTGACAAGCAGTTTAACTTGCTTAGTGGATGTTTTGAGATTTGTAGGTTGTTGCGTTGCTTCTCTTCTGGGACTCTTAGCTGTTCGGGGGAGACGTCTGTTCTGATCTGGGATACGATTCTGGGACAGAAAACAAACACATGAAAATATAGTTAATATCAGCTGCAAGCATATCGATCATACCATGGTTGGGATTATGGATATTACTGTTAAAACACTTGTAGAATACAACAGGAGAGCATCTCTTGTTGTATTTTAACCCCATTTTGTGTCCCACTTTATATCAATAACAAAAACACCAAACATCAGTGCTTTTTATAAATTTTCTTCACAAAGGTCAGATGCCTGTAGACCTGCCTGTTGCTGTGCTGGGTCCATGCTGCCACTGAAACCACCATCACGTCTCTCTCTCTTTCTTGACAGTGACATCTCCACTCCCACTCCCTGCTCCGGCTCCAGCTGCTCCTGCTGCTGTTCCACTTCCAGGCCCTGATGAAGCTGCAGCTCCAGGACCAGTACTGGCTCCAGATGTAGGAGCTGATGCAGGAGCTGAAGCAGACCCTGCTCCGCTCGATCCTGAACTGGCAGCACCATTTCCCAAAATGGTGGTTATCTCCCCCTGCATGAAGGCCCATGGGGGACTGTTGGGAGAGGTATCCAATGGACAGCGCTCTCCGCTGGGGCAGTACACTTCCCCATCACCATGCCTACTCTGGATATACCCTCTTGTGCACGGGAAGCAGAACCTATATTTGGCGGAGGAAGAGTATTACAGTGGACATAATTATTTTGGACGCTAACAACTGCAGGATATATATTTATAACCAGTTTAACAAATACGTGCTTTTTTATGCAAGACATATTTAAATACCTAACCTGGCTAAAAGCTAAAAACAAACAATGTTATAGGATATTTATATAACAATAAATAAATGACAAACATACAAACCTGTGGCCTGGCACTGATGGACATTGAACAAAGTGGGTGTCTTCCAGTCTCTCATGACACAAGGTGCAGGACAGACTGTTTCCAGCCGAATGGCTGTTATTGGCAGATGCAGATGCCAGCTCAGAGGCACCACTGTGGGGTAACGCGGCAGCGGTGGTAGCTGCCTCCGCTGAGGTGCTGGATCCTAGGGGCTCTCCTCCTGACCTTGCAGTTAGGGGGCGTGACTGCCTGGCTGGAGATGATGCAGGTTTAGGACTAGTCTGGCTTACACCTCCAGCCATGGAGAACGATGAAGAAGCCAAGCTTGTACTCTTGCTGGTACTGCTGCCAGCCACAACTGTGTGGGTCTGCGTCTTGGGCTGGTTCTGGGAGGAACTCAGCTCTCGCTCCAGCTCTGGCGCGATAAAAGGGGTGATCCCCATGCTTATTCCCAGCTGTCTGCGGCTCATCTCTGCCAGCACAGGGGCAGGGAAAATCATAGGGCTGCTCATAGGGGCTGTCCGGGCCGTCAGACCCGCGGGCATCCCTGTAAGTATCCCAGAGGGAATACCGGGAATACCTGCAATACTCTGACTCACTAGATTAGGAGGGATGGCTGCGCTAATCATGGATCTCCGGCTGCCACTGGGGCTCTGACGGTTAACTTCTTGAGGCGGCTGCCCGTCACGATGCAGCCCGTTTGGCGGTACACGAATAGTTGAAGCGGTAATTTCTCCTCTTCCTCCCCTCTCGAAACGGTCCCCGTGCGGCCTGCCTCCGTCTGCCGCCACCTCTCCCCGGGCTGATGTGCCGTGTTTATTGGGAGAGGGACCAGGTGACCTCACGTTACCGTCCTGCATGCCGTGAGTTCGCTTCAACTGGCGGGCGCTTGCGATCAGGAATTCAATCTGGTTGGCTCCCTCGTAGTTCACGCATCCACGGCAGACCACCTCGCTGAAGTCCCACACCACGGTCCATGGCATCTTTGGCAGGTCGCACAGGTAGCACCACTGGCGCCTGGAGGAGGAAGGGGACGACATGGCTGGCCGAGCTAACCTGAGCGTGTTCAGCGAACCTCCTAACGTGCTAGCACAGGTTAGCTGCGTTAACCTACTTAGCGTGGACAGGTGCACGCCCTCTTTGCTACTGACTTCGTCCCCTAACGGACCTCACACAGCTTTAAAATAATGTTACGCATTCTACATATATGAAATTAGCTCAAATACTTTGGTTGTTTGCAACTAATTTTGATATATTTGTTGTGTTTACCGACTTCGGCCTACTCTTCCCCGCTGTCAACGGCTTCCCAGACTGGCTCTGGAACGTTACGTAACCACGTGAGGTGAATTATGGGTATTTGAGTTTTCTTACTCGCCGAAGTCAATAGAGGGCCTCGTCGTGGAACTACAGTGAGAACTGGCACGGAAGTGAAATACTTAAAGGTCACGGTTCAGTTTTTGTCAACACGTGTGCCTCCCACACAAGCCATCCGTTTGGAGACAGAAACTTTTAATTTCAGAAATTTGATCGTATTTTAAAATAAAAAAAAAAATGCCGAAAGACATATCCTCATCGAGCGAAGATGAAGCGGACACCACTGGTGTGGAATCGGCGCCCAAACCGACAGAATCCGGTAAGTTAACACGCAGACGTTGCACGAAGTTGGTGTAATAATGGAGGTGATATGCTAGTAGTTACTTACGTTAGAGCAGATTCATTAAGGCTTAGAAGTAGCCAGAGGACGGCAAACGGTATAGCAGGCTAGCGGTAACGATTGTGTTTACATTAAATATGTGGTTTAGATAAAGCAACAGAAGAAAGTTAATATCCACACTAAAACGTGTTCCAGTTTCTGTGCTTCAGACTCGATGGTGTTGTTTTTTAATCCACAGATAAGACTACAAGGTACCAGTGTCCTCCTGACTTTGTCTCTTTCTGCCACGAGCCTTGCAGCAGCACTCTCGCACAAAACCTCAAGAAGAACAAGAATGAGTTATGGCTCATTAAAGCTCCTGCCAGCTTTGATCCCAAATGGTGGGTACAGTCTGCCTTTACCTTTATCCCACACAGCAAACATTTTTTTTTCTAACATAATAACAATTTTTTAGCCTTTTTTCTTTTTTGCAATGGTGATTTGTTTTTTTTGTTTTTTTTGTCCTTCCTCTCCACGCAATCATATAAACAGTTTAAACCACAAACAAGTTTCAGATGCAAATGCCACAGTAATAATACTTTCATAAAGAAGCCAAAAGCTGAATATCTCTCTGATATCATCAGTAAACATTCACACAGACATCAGCCCTCGCATATCTCCGGTTACTGAAGCGAAATCTCCCAGATATCCTCTGAGGTTTTGGTTAAATTGAAACGATGGAGTCACTGCTCACCCCATCTCATTCTGGAATTCAGTTTAAGATTACAAATCTTATTTGTTTACAGCTCCCAGGTCTCTCTGAACCATTGGCAAGCTTCTCTTATATGTCTGAATATCATGTCTTAAACAAAAAGTGTCAGAACCTTTAAAGATGCTCCTCTACGGTTGTAGAATCAGTTACCACTTGACATAAAAAGAGCGATTAGTGTGTCTGCTTATTGTTGAACGCCTCTTAATTCTGTATCATATGTGTTCACTTTTTGTTTTGTTTGTTTTTTTACCGTAATAATTTGCCTGTGTGTGTGTAGTTGTAGATACTGTGTGCAGCACTTTGGTCAGTGAACGCTGAGATTAAATCTATTTAGGTAATTTCCAAAAGGAGTACACCTCTAGTCTCATTTTTGTTGCCGTGTTGCACAGTTTCCACAGTGGAACTTTGAGTTAACTGCATTTAACAGCAACAACCTCTCCGTGGCATTTGTTAAAAACTAGTCATGCAGTCGTCAGGTCATTGAAATGACTGTAAAATCTGTTAGTATCTTTTTAAAATCTACAAATGGTAACTGACTCATTATGACAAGTATCGCTAAGGTGAGTAAAGGTGTTGGTTGCTGGTAATGAATTCAACGTCCCATTGTGAGAATTATGTTGCTTTTGTACTAAAATTACATTAAATATCAAGTAACAAAGTAACAGCATGAGGGTGTAAGCAGAAACAGTATGTTTAAACTTTTTTTCAGAGTACTTTTAAGTGATGCATACTTACCTTTTCTCATTCCATCCAGCTTCAGTGGCATCAAGGTGCCCCTCTCTGGTCTCCAGACCCTGAAGGTTCCTACTGCTGCTCAAGCTGGAGCCAAGACTGGGAGCAGGCAGCAGATCTATAGCATCCTGGCATCCAACCACAGTACCTCAGAACTCCGCCTGCTCACCAGTGACAAGAAGCCGTCAAATGGCATGGTTGTTGGTCCTGCTTTTTCAGGCTTGCTTAATGTGTGCGAGACCTACGGAGACAGCAGCAACAATCAGGCCCCTCAGGTCATCCCCGCTGCTCCAGCCCCCTCCATACCGCCCGGACTCAAACAGCGATTCCAGCCTTTTGGCAGCAAGACCCCCACTCTTACCTGCGTGGCAGAGAATGAGTTGGATGGAGTTGCCTTTGGGCCCTCTTCCACAACTCTCCGACCTCTGGTAGTCAAGCGATTCATAGAAGAAGCAGGTCAAGAAGAAGAAGATGAGGAGGAGGAAGAGGAAGGGAGGAAAAAGAAGAAGAAAAAGAAGGAAAAACGGATAAAAAAAGAGCGACTAGAGGAAGTGGTGAATGTGAAAGAGGAACCTGTAGATGAATTTCGGGAAGAAGTAATGATGGAGCTCCCCTTCCAGGAGGGTGATTATTCTGTGGAGAAGAGGAAGAAGAAGAAGAAAAAGAAGGACAGAGAGCGAGAGGAGGTGGAGGAGGGACTGGAGCCTAGTGTCAAAGTCAAGGTGGAAGAGGTGCCTGTGAAATGTGAACCCATGGACACATTCTTTGGTGAAGAAGTGGAGGTCTCAGGAAAGAAGAAGAAAAAGAAAAAGAAACTCAGAAGTGATGGTGACTAGTCTGGTGTCATTTTGGAGTTTTTTAGTTTTGTTTGTTTCCTTTTGACCATGTGAGCACGTCAGAGACAGTTTATTGCTTAATTACTTCGCTATTGTTGTTGCCAAGACGTTGGCATGGTGTTGCTCAACAAAAGGGCACCTTGTGAATACAATGAGTAGTGAGGTGAATTATAAAGACGATTCACTCTAGCATCTTTAAGACAAATGTTCATTTCAGTTTGGCCAGATGGAGACAGATTCACACACAATGTGTGCAGCTGGAGGCATCAGCGACTACAAAACTGATAAGAGTGCACATGATAATGGTGTCAGGAACCACAACAGATTTGAGCAATGCCACAGCATCTCATTAGATTTAGCATTTGTTTTAGTGTTTTTGTAAACAGTGTGAGTCCAGTACTGGAGACCTTTTTTGTTTCATGAAAACAAATGTCATGAAGTCCAAAAGCGATTAAAGGAAATTAAAAATGAGAAAAACTTGGTTTTTTGTTTTTTTTTTGTCCTGCTGTTGGCAAACGCAAGTTACCAGCAACATTTTCCTCTTGTGCCTTTTCAGAGCAGTGACTTCATCTACAAGGAATGAAAGTTGGATTTGTGTGTGAACTCCACACTGTGGATTTGAAATTGTGCAACAGTTTGACTGTACCCAGTTTACAGAGGTGTAGTTTTGTAATGATGTTCATGCAGGCAAAAAAATCCAAACCATCTGTTCTGTGAAATATGATTTTTATGAATGATCTTCCAGTTTTTTCAGATGGCCCAAAGACTAACATGAAATAAAATGGTTTAGTTTAATAAGCCTTGTGTTCTTTTTTTTTCTTCAAATTGGCAGATTTTTTTATTCTCATGTAATAATATGGTTATAGAAAATGTGATTTCTCGACACATGAACTGCGGTTATTCAGGTAAATTTTCGTGCTCATAAGAAGTTGCGACAGGGAGAGGGCGCCACAGTCCAGCTAGTTGTCTGCGTGGAACGGCTGCCTGCAGCCTTTGAACAACCTCTGAGCTTCTAACCTACATGCTACTATTTCTTTTAACTAATTTAACACAGATCTGCTGTAGCCGTCTGAATGCACAAAGAGGCGATTCATAATTTTTGACATTTTCTGATGGCAGCGACTTTTCAGAGCTCTCTGACACTCAGGTGAAAAACCTCAGTCCATGCTCTGCATCCTCCCCTCCTCCTCCCTCTCCTCTGCCTGCTCTGCACCGGAGTATGGTCCTGTTTCTTAATGAGCTCAGGCACCTCTGGTGCTATCACACTCACCATCTGTAGTAACCCCCTGCACATGCTGCAAGCCTTATTGATCCAACCTCATGAGTGCATTAACATTTTTTAGCCTTTTCAAAAGGCCTGTCAAACTCGAAATGCTAAACACCATGCTAGAGGTGTAAAATGTAGCCTTAACACAACAAGGAACATTTTTTGCGTTCTTTCTACTGAGTGTATTTGACATGACTTGGCATCAAGTCATCTATTTTTTTTTTTTTTTTTTTTGGTGTAGCAGGCAGTCATTAAAGCCGAGAGCCACAGATGTCAGATGCTGGCTAAAATGTTTTTCTGAGAGTCGCAGATAACGCCAGATTTCTGTGTATCCTCACAGGTATGTCGAATGTGTGTGCGAGCTCCTGCGCCTCAGACCTTTCAGGCTTGAGTGCCTGAGTGCATATGGCTGTGTTGCTGAGAGAGGGTGTGTGTAGCTGTCTGAGCTTAAGGTCAATGAAACGAAAAATAATTTTTACTGTGTTGGCTAAAATATACAAAATTCATTCGTGCTTTCTTGTATCTTGAGCACTTAACTTTTAAACTAAGAGAAAAAAAAACATTTGTTTCCATATATGATCTCCTATTGTTTATAGTATAAAATAAAAATGTGTAAAGACCAGACGCGATAAATTAAAAAAAGAAAAAGCACTGTCTTTCAGAAAATCCAAATTTATACAAACCAATGGCAAGTGTCGATTGCTATCCCTGAGTCCAGCAGCCGGCTAAAATCCAAGCCAAGTCGATATTTCCCAAAATGCTTGTCTTTAAGAAATTTTGCCTCGGGATTGTAAGATGTC